GACTTGGTTCTCATTAAAGAAGATAATATGCATTCATTACATTGGAAACTCGGGCGAGTAATAGAAGTGTTTCCTAGAAGAGACAATAATGTCCGAGTGGTAAGACTAAAAACTGTGCATGGTGACATTAAACATCCGATTACCAAACTGCATCTTTTACCAGTTGAAGAACATTAACTTTTAAGTGTTTGGTTCATATTGAATATGTTTTATTATTATTTTGTTATATTTCTTATTGTACTAATAATTTTATTTGTTTGTTGTAGTTTAACCCTTATAGTTAACCCATTTATGCCGAAGGTTAAAAAATTGGAATTTTTGCATGAAATTTCTATATGTTAGGTAAAAAAATATAATAAACAATGATTTGAAGAAGAAATTTTTTTATTTTAATTAGTTTACAAGTTATATGGTGTTCCAAAAATGGAACACTAGGCAAAACCATTGCTATAATGTTACAATGTATAAAATCGTGGGTTTCCTCTAAAAATCTGGTTATTCCCATTATTCGGTATGGTAATTGGAAGAACACTTAACATGTAAAGCCACATTACATTTTCCACATATCGAAAAGTGGTGTTTTTATGACATTGAGCACAGCGAGTTTACTTACCTTGCTCTACGATCCTATGATTTATGCCATCATAGCATGAATCAATGTTTCGCTTCTGAGAGGGTTTTCCTTTCCTGCCAGGTTCTGCAGGATGACCATGAGTCTCAAGATAATGACATGCTACACGACAACGGAATTCTAAAAGATGCATTGGTTTTGCATCATAAGTTTTGTGTAATTGCCAAGTATTTTGCAAGGCCATTTCGAAACAGAACAACAATGGACTTGAATACCATTTCTTTCCACGAATTGATGCTCTATATTTGTCAATGTTTTCGTCTGCTCTATCCCCACCTCCCATAAATTGGTTATATACTTTTATCATGTTTGGATGCTGAACTTGGATTTCTTTCTTTTTTTTTTTTTTTGTTCTTGTGAATAACGATTTACAAGACACAGTGGATTTACACCAGCACCAGATGATGCAACAGTCACAACACTGTTGTCATGCCATCTACAGACAATATTGCCTTTGCCATCAACTCGATAACCGAATGAGCCTCTTTCCATTTTCTTTAGGGCAACATCCGATTGCAATTATGGTTTATCAATACGACCTTTTCTAACTGTGCCTGTTGCCTGATGACCCATTGAACCAAGTTTATCAAGCAGGGCAATACTTGTGAAAAAATTATCAAAAACAAAATGATATTGCCCAGGGTGCTCCTCTATTAGTGCATCCATAAACCGTAAGACAACAGAAGCACCAACACCATACTCCTCATATTTGTTTGCCAGATTTTTACCTTGATAGGGTTCGAACCAACAAGAAACATTTCAATTGAGAGTTTGTCAAGCTTAGGTTTACACCCTTAGTTGAAGCATATAAATTTGAGTATGTTACAATGAGTTCGATGGCATCGTCATTTAGGAAAAGTTCAAGATGTTCTGTAGAAGTTCTTACTTTGGTAACTGGTAACTGAGTAATTCTTCCCGATATGGGCTGGACATTTAGATCTGCTTTTTCCCATTTTTGTACAACTTTGTCGAGCTTTTTCTTCTTTGTTAGAAGTGATTGTTGCAAAGTAGAAGAAGTCGATGGAACCCCATCTGCAGCAGAATCAAATTTAGGGAAATATGAAGGATCATCTGGGTCAGAGTCAGCATCAAAAGAACCATCCCGAACAAGATAAGCAGGTGCACGCAGCAAAGAACCAGGCAGATTATTTATTGTTCCCCCATCTTCCTCACCGGAGTCCTCATCAGAAACAGATGCTGTAGCATTTTCAGGTGGTTCTATGATTATGGCACTTGCTTCTATGTTGTCACACGTCTTTAAAAGATCAGTTAACTCATGTAAGGCTATTTCGGACATCTTGTATCTTGGAAAATCATTTCAACTAAAAAAATATGAAGAGAAAATATATGCGTTCTTGTGGTAGTGGTTTTGCCTAGCATTCCAAAAATGGAACACTGAAAATTTCAAGCCTATAACTAATTCAAAACTAATAGCTTTTCTATTTTCTTTTGCAGTAATAAAGAGTAACTAATTGAATAATAACACAATTTTTTTTTACAATTTTAAAGTATAATGCAACAGAGTTATAGTTATCTGTTTATAGATGAATTTACAAAAACCTTGACAAAAATGAAGACAAAAATTTCACAACATCACAGCAGCCAAATATATGCAGGAGTGACAAACTCTGTGTTCTAAGCAAAGCCATATGCCCTTACAAACTGGCTGACATCACAAATCAAACCATGTGTGCGACCTTGAACCCATGGGATAAAAATAACTTTTATGTGAGGGATGTTCCAAAAATGGAACAGTAGGCATAAATGGGTTAACTTTTCAATACAATAAGCTAGAAGACTGGTAAGTGTAATATGTAATTTTGTACTTTTGAAGATTTTTGTATGTTTCAGTTTCTATAGTTTTCATTTACTTGTTTGCATATCTGAAGATTGTATTAAGATGAATACAATTCATCGGGTCATCGGGGGAAGGGGGATGTTTCGGCCTTCTCGGTGACTGCAGTGATTTGTACTCAGAGGATGCACCGCACGAAAGAGTTAGTTGCATTATAGAACGTAAAGGGAGCAGACACGGCAATATGTCAGGTATATTACCGCTAATTGATATAATTGCATCGTATCTGCCAGGTGGTAAAAAAAAATGGTATGATGTATCAATTTACATGCCAGGTGGTAGAATATGTGTATCATGTACATGCCAGGAGGCATAAAGCTTGTAGACATGTCAGGTGGCATACGGCTTATAAATAAATTGTAAATAAATGTACAGTAAAATATCTTGGTGTAATACGTCAAGGAATACACAATGACAACCTTCTGATCATTTGGATACGTATACCTATTGTTACCCTGCACTGAAAGGATTTGCTTGCTTTAGGTATTCATGCCATAGAATATCCACAACATGTATCCAAATGCTGCTTTGTAGTATTTAATTGTTTTCCATTATGGCAAACAGAGCAGACTCGGAACTTTTCAGCATTGAGTATATCTTTTCGAAGCCAGATCAACAAAAATACATTTGTGATTAAAAATTTAATAAGCACATCTAATTTCTTCCAACTCTTGCATCAAATATGCTTTCCAATCATGAAAAAATTTTAATCAGCTCTTGTCTACATTGTCTGCAATTACCTTCATTAAAATTTTTGCAGTTTTGTTTTCAATCATTTAAAAGAAATAAATTTTTTATTTTCAAGACAAATGTCAACAATCAGCAGATCATTTTCCATTTGGAAAATAGACTTTTGTCAACCTGCACAATTTTGTTTTTGCAGTCTTATGATTTCAACTTTTATAAGAAAAAAAAAAAAAAAAGGCACACAATTTCACATATGTATTTGCACTAATTAATAAATATATAATTTGAATCATTGTTTCTGAAGACATTTCCAGTGTTTTAGCAAAACCATTTCTTAACTCTAGCTATATACAAAGCATTAAGCAGTAACAAAACAAAAGGTACTCTGCTACTTTGTAATCAATCATGAACTTTAAGACCATATTTCTTTTAGCAGCTCCTTTAACTGCACTGTCATTTGTGCAAGTTTTTATTTAAGGAATGATACCAAACTCTTGAAAACAATTACAAATTCTAGCTGCATACGTGGAAAATTCGGCACATCATTATTAATTAAATGCTTAGCTGCTTAAGTAAAGAAAAAGTAGCAAGTAAAATTGATACACTGAAAGATTAAAAGAAAAAATATAGACAGTTCTATAACTGGAGACACTGGGAATGTCCTTTTTCTGACAGAGATAACAAAACAATAAGAACTAGATAATGTTTCTTAAAATGTCACCGGAGATGTCTTTGTAAGATTATAACATTTTGCTTAGAGCTTAGCTTCTCCTGATGCATGCATAGTTTGGTCTTATCAAGGCTCGCCATGATGACACAATATCTCACCTCGGTATACATATATGTATATACTTTGCTTAGCTACCTGTGCATATGCTGTCAATGTCCATCAATATAATTAAAATGTTGATTAATATTATAATCAATCTGGGCCCCTTTTTCTTCAGTTTTATTACTAAAAAACATTTGGCCCAAGATAACTGATAAATATTTTATTTTAGCATATTTATGTCAAAACTTAGCATTGTTTTACCACTGCAAACTAAAAACACCTTAGATTTCTGAAGATTTTATTTACAATTAGCCATTTCAAAAACAATTAATGCCAAAATATTTATCTGAATTTTAACTAATCAAATCACATTCAAACAGTTTAATTTCCCATGCAAGCATTATTTATTTAACCTATTTGTCATCATTTACAGAGGTTACATACTGCAGAAAGTCATTAGATATATCAAATTAAGTACTTACCAACTTCATTATACGCAAGATATTTTTAGCTGTGTTCCTTTGGAGTTACTCAAATGTATTCCATAGAGATAAATGCAACTGTGGTGCTTTTTATGAAGCATTACTTTGTATTTTTATTTGTAATATTACAAGACACAACATTATTAATGCAACAACACTGTATGAATATATGACCACATACATTATTAATCCTCAGAACCATATATATACATGGTTTAGTTTTTTTTTTTTTTCAATTTCTTTAAGAAAGTATATATATATGTGAATCTTGAAATATGTCCAAGAAAATAAGACAATGCTTTGAAAAGTACATATGTGCAAGTATAAAGAAGCCCATTTTGGCATTAAAATCAAGAAAATGCCTATTTCTCTTGGCAGGTTTGGGAAATCTGGGGTTTCTTAGCAAAATCCTCAGCTGAATGGAGGGTTAAAAACTTAGTGAACAGTTTAAAAGTTCAATAAAGAATCAATTCAGAATGTTATAAATTTACAAACAGATGTTATAAAATATTTTATTTTGTTAATTTCAAAATTTTATTTCTTATAAAAATACAAGAAACAAAGAAAATATACCTGTGAACATAAATAAGTTGAGAATTTCTTTAGGCCTTCATTATGTTGATTAAGTAGTGGAAATATTTTGAAAAAACGTTCTACAGATGCAACATCTTCATCTCTAACAGCATCATCAAACTTTCTCATTACAATGGCTTTGAGCTGATTTTCAGCTTCATGTAATTTAAGAAAAGCTTCATCCAAACTACTCCCTAAAAAAGCAAAAGCATTATGCACATAAAAATGATAAAAAATTAGAGAGCTATTATATGATTAAATTACAATATTATTTAAATTGTTAGCTAAAAATCTATTTCAGGTAAATACATAAATAAATTTTAGGTTATTATTTATATTATTAGAAAGCAATTATCATCATATTTAAATAATATGATACTTTCTATGAAAGTTGAGGCACACACACACACACACATATATATATATAAGTTAATGCAGTATTTTATTAAAAAGAACCAGGCTAACTAAATTCTGCTGATACATACAAATCTGCAAAACTAATATTAAAAAAAAAAAAAAAAAAAAAAAAAGGATTGAAAGCTTGAAATGTTTGATAGAGAAAAATCAAGTTTGATATAATAATTCTTCTACATTAATCTCAACAAATTTACACTTCTCTCTTCTAACATAGTATGACAGCTGATGCCTATTTGTCACTAAAACCTCTGGTATCATTTAATGTACACTGAGCACACACACAAAAAAGGGGGGGGAGGGAACAGTTTTATATTTCCTGTTCTACTGGGCCAATTTCATGAAATTCAACTTGCTTATTGGATTTACATATATCATTGTTCTAATATAGGTATTTTGAAACAAAATAAAACTTTTTCTGAAATGATATACTGATTTTTTCCCATATTTCGATGCCATGAATCAACTTATGCCAAACTGCCAAGTTTTGCAAAAATCGGACGAATAGTTTTTAAAAAATTAGCTCCTCAATGTTAATTGAATTGTATATATATTTATTAATATCTCTTTTTTACTAAACTTATTTGATTCTTCCTTTCATATTTCGAAATCTAGGTTCATTCCAAATAAAATTCACCCATTTTTTATGATTTATTTCTAAAATTTGTATTTTTAAATAATTTTTATAAATTTTCTGAAAAAAAAAATTGAATTATAACCTATAAAACTTTTTCCATCATCTTAAAAGAGATGTATTTCTAAGTATACCTACAAAGAATTATTAAGAGTTTTTTATTAAAATTTTCAAAGATATACATGAATTAACACTTTGGCACATTTTGAAATTTTGCAAAATTCAAAGCTAAGTAATAAGTTTTGAATTTATTACAAGTGATAATAATGAAAAGGTGGTTTATGTACTTTGTTAAAATTATTTGAAAGTATGCCTGATGACTTTTTTCCACTCGTGGACAATGAAAAAAAGGAAAGGAAAATAGGTTGCTATAAATTAAGAAGTTCGCTAAGTGAGTTATTCTTGGCTCGAATTAAAAAAATTGTTTCGAGGTTCAGACTAGGTGCGTGAAGGTGCAGTTGCCCCTCGCTCCCTATTTTTTTACTTCACTGATTTTTTCTTGCGTTTTAGTCTATGTATTGTATGTTTGATAAGATAGCCTGGCTCAGTAAAAGTAGGTGGCCAGTGTAACTCTGGTTCATAAATCCGGTTACGACCACGTACAGTGCTGATAACGACCATGTGTTTCTGAGATTCCTTGCCAATACTTTATTTATTTTTTTTTTTTTTCTTTTTCCCTTTTCTAGTAATTTTGTTCTCCTGATGAGGAGGGACCTTTAGCTGCCCTCGAAATCGAATGAGTGTTGTAATATATGTACACCAAATACAAGGTTGTTATTGCGATTTTGATTGTCACATTCGCGCGTTTCCCTTCTATTCTAAAAAAAATTGTGCCAAGATAAATTTTTAAATTTCTCCATAAATTTCTCAGCAAAAAATTACAAAATTTATTATCTAGGCATAATTTGAGTTGTAGAAACAAAATAAGGAAAAAAAAATTTGGTATGTTATTTCAGAAGAACTCTGATTTTGTGTCAAAATACCTATGTTAGAGCAATGCTACATATAAATCTAATACATATCCTAAGTCACATTTAAGAGACATGGAAAACGCAATTTGAATTTCATCAATCAGCCCAGTAGAATGGGAGATATAGAACTGTCCTCCTCTTTCCGCAGTGAACAGTGTTACAACTTATGCAGTTTTCATGTATATCATATAAACTAGACTGAATTTCAACTTTATTTTGGCCCTTAATTTGTAGAAATCAAATAACAGAATTAGTCACATATAAACAGCAGAACTCATTTAATCAGACACTTTTACATACATGTCATATACACAGAAACAGATGCTCTCCATCTATTTCTTTGCTATGACTGATTAATAGTGTACACGTCGGACTTCTGTATATTTTTAAAATTTTTTCATCCATTTAAAGTTTTATATCAAAGCTCTTTGGAATTTAATTGAAAACACTATCTCTATTCCAAACATCAAAAATCACTTTAGAAAATGCATATAACTGAAAACAATAAAAACTGCAGATTTATGATTTTGACACATTCACAATGATATATCTTTCCCTCCAAGAAAACTTCTCAATGCAACTGCATTGAAAATGTAACAGTTAAATATACAGCTTAACATTAATTACCCATTTCATTTAGCATAGTTTATATATACAGGGTGATTATAATTAAAGTTTAAGTTTCAAAACGCTATAAAAAAAGAACCACTGATGAAAATGATGTGAAATTTGAAAGGAATGTTATTGAAGAAGGCGGAACGAGTATGGCAGAAGAAAAAATTTAGTTTCAAAAGTTAGCAACAGATGGCGCTGTAAGCGGCAGAATCACGACGAGAAACGAGAAATGTTTCGTAAAACAACGGCTAAGGTGGAAGTTACACATTAAAACGCATTGACAAATTAGAATTGTTGAATAATTTTATTTGCATGACTGTACATATCACATCGGAAGGGACAAATCGGTGGGTTTCAAGAGTTTTGCGGCGGCATACCGCATAAGAACCATTCATCAAAGAAGTTCGGAACTGTCGCAAAACATGTTCAATATGGTGTCCACCGTTGTGTGCAACAAGTTGAAAGCGACAAACGGATCGCAGTGTCTCCGGGGTGATGTTCAGAATGTTTTGCGAAATGCGTGCCTTTAATTCCGCTAAATTTGCAATTGGAGCATGGAACACAACATCCTTCAGATATCCCCACAGCCAGAAATCACACGGAGTAAGATCAGGCGATCGGGATGGCCAGGCTGTAGGGAAATGACGGCTGATAATTCGAGCATTTCCGAAATGGCGCCTCAGCAGCTGCTTCACGGGATATGAAATGTGCGGAGGAGCGCCATCTTGCATAAAAATGATTTCATTCACACATCCACGCTGTTGCAGAGCTGGAATCACGTGGTTGCGCAAAAGAGACGCATACCTCTGACCAGTGACGATTGCGGTAACAGGAACGGAAGCACCCGTCTGCTCGAAAAAATATGGTTGTATGATGACTAATGCCGTAAAGCCACACCATACCGTGACCTTTTCAGGATGAAGTGGTACGGGGTGCGTTGCCAGTGGATTTTCTGTTGCCCATATTCGACAATTCTGGGTATTCACGTATCCTGTCATATGGAAATGGGCTTATGGTCATATGGTCATATGGAAAGTGGATAATGAATGGCCGTGGAAAATTTCCAACGTCTCCCTAGCTGTCAGGTCAGAAGGAAGCAACTCCTGCACATGGCCAATTTTGTACGGATAGCATTGCAGGATGTTTCGTACCTGTCGTTTCGAATTTTTGCATCATTTTCTTTAGACCTACGACACTCATTGGACCAACGCCTTCTTTTATACCCTTCAGTGTCCTGAATTTTTGCAGAGCTACTCTTGCACAATCATCATTCTTGTAATACAGCTTTACCAGCAGAGCGCGGTCCTGCAGTGAAACACCCATGGCGAATGCCTGGAGTCGCGAAATGAGGAACAGCCTGGTACCTGGCAGCTTTATAACACTGAAATTTAACTACATTTTAATTTACGTCTTCTTTCCGCTTGCAGCGCCATCTGTTGCTACTTTTGAAAACTAAATTTTTTCTTCTGCCATACGCTTTCCGCCTTCTTCAATAACATTCCTTTCAAATTTGACGTCATTTTCATAAGTGGTTCTTTTTTTATAGCGTTTTGAAACTTAAACTTTAATTACAATCACCCTGTATATATATACCTAAGAAAACAGAGAATTTTCAGATGTAAATTTTCAGAAAACAGAATAACTAACTAAATACTGTTTCAGTTCACATTCTAAAATCAATGCTTTCTGTAATCTGCACCCCTGAAAAAGCTATCAACTGATTAGCAAATATATTGAATTAGCATAGCTTTTTTTATTTATTTATGTTTTGTTTTCATTTTTTTTTTTTTAAATTGGCTGTCTTTTAAAATCATAATATATTTATAAAAATATACTAATACAAGCTGAGAAAAATACTCTATTTATAAATAATGGTAAAAGGAAGCATTTTAAAAGAAATCAGAAATTTTATGAAGACCAAAAACAAAAATCTACAAAGCAACTCATACAACTCGTGGATTTGGTTTAGCAGAATAATCATTAACTATAAAGAGTGTAGGTCCACAAGTACTCAAATACATGTGTGGTGTGCACATGCATGGATTTGGCTATTGCTGCAAGTGTACTTTAAAATACACCCAAAACAGGGCAGTTCTACTGTACTTTAAAATTGAGGGTGCAGATAACCAGAAAGTACTTTGAAATTTTCCCTCTTATAAAAATTGATATAAATTTCATTTTCAAAGTTAGTTTTACAACTCTACTTTTAATATTAGACTTTCTATTGTTATATTAAAATAATATTTATGAGATAAATTTTTAAAAAATGCATTAGTTTCATTATGTTACCATTATTAGATTAAAAATAACTATCTTGTTTACTCATGTAATAGTTGTAATTTTTTTGCCAAATTTTTTTTTTATTGTGAAAGTCTAGGTGCGTCTATTATGCGAGAAAATCTACTACACAAATATTGTACACTCTAATGCTAAAACATTACTGGTATAAAAAATACATTATAATAAAATTAGTAACTTAGCAAATGTTTCCAGATTATGCACTGATTACTAAATAGCCTCTTCATCAGTTCCACACAAAAAAGGGGTACTTTCCATTTTATGGTAATATTTTTATAGACATAAAATTCATATATAATCTTTGTGAAAATATTAACAAAAAAATCTAATAACATAAAACATAATTCACAAATCACTTTCCCTGAAGGTATCAGTATCACTGTTGTAATGTGAACTGGTGTGAAAAATCTCCATCATTCCATAAAATATCATCTTTGCTTCCGTCCAAAGCATTGGAGATACAGCAGATCCACCATTTCATAGTGCACAATCATAAGAAGTAAGTTGATTTTCTATCAATGGGAAAATTCCATGCTTTTGTCCTCTGAATTTTGTTCTCTGAATGCTTGCCTATTTACATTTGTTTCTTGTAGCGGCTGTTTCAATTTTCTCCAGTCCCTTGTTAATTTTTCACTTACATTCCATTCTCTTTCAGCAACTCTGTTTCCATTCTCTTCAACATATTTAATAATCTTCAGTTTAGATCCTGCCATATAACTAATATTCTACCTAAACATTCCCATATTCAAGAAGAAGAAAAAAAAGAAACATCCAAAACACACCACCATCAAATTCACCACAGAACAAAATATTGGCAAAGATTCTTTTTCTGTAACTTTAGATATGTGCAGCACAGTAAATTTAGAGCATGTGCATACTTTCTTTAATGAAGAATGAGTTGAAAGCTTTAAAACGAGGGGGGATAAGAAATTCTGCTTAAGAGAGCCCTCCCATCCTCCCAGGGAAAACAGGCTAGTACTTATCTCACTATAAGGTGACCGTTTAGAATATCAGTGGGAGTTACAAAATAGATGAATCCATTATGAGTATTAGTTCTCGGAATAGTACAGCTGATAATTTTCTACTTAGATCATGGTCAAATATGCAACTGCAACTGTTACACGTGGAAAATATTTTGATGATTTTTTCTGCTTCAAAATGGGGGTGCGACTATTATGCGAGAAAACACAGTAGATATCATTTTACCTTCACTCTCTATACAAGAAATTTAACTTAATTTATAAAAAGAAATTATAAAAGCTTATTATTATGACAAGAATAAATAGTATATGGACTTTTCAATAAATAAAAAACAATTTTCATTTTGAATTTTATCCGGTGACACATTTATCAAATCTGCATGCAGTTAAATATTATTATTATTAAACAGATATAACTAGTGCTATTTTAAATTAGGAGTTTTAAAACTTTATTCACTTTAACCTTCCAGCATGCGTGCTTGGCAATTTTACATGAGCACGTGAGTGCCGTATTTTTTACGACATCCGTTATTTTACTGTTTTTGGCATGAAAAATGACAGAAATGAGTGAATATTGATAATAAATTTGTTAAGAAATAAAATATTAATATTTTTATTGCAAAATACAAATATCATCACATTCAAATATAAGTAAATTATTTTCAAGTTCTTATGTTAGTGAGATGGAAATACAATGATGTATTTCATTATAGAAAATTTTAAATTTATTATTTAATAATTATATTTTAAAATCAAAGCTAATTTTAATATTCATGAAGGACAAGTATAGACAATAAAAAAGGAAAACATCTTGGTAGGAAAAAAAGAAAGTTTAGCATTATTTACTTCTGCAAGGAAATTTACTTCTTACTGGTTACGAAAACGCACTTTAAACTAACTTTAATGTTTCTATTTATTTCTAAAAAATAGAAATAAAAGAAAATAAGGAATAGAAATCTCTATTGTTCTCCCATCCAAAGGTTTCCTTGTCTTCATCAGATATTCTTGAAGAATCCGAGCAAAATCAGCTGGTTGCACATATTTTTTTGCCATGAAAACCGATATAAAATTTACAGAGTCAAATGTATTCATATTAAAATAATATATTGCAATTAATAACACAAAATTATAAAATATTTGAAAAAAATATTTTCCGAATTTTAAAACACGACCACGTGCGTGTCAAAACTTTTATGAAAAAGCTGCCACGTAGCACAAAAGCCCAGTTAGAAAAAAAAGTCAAATGACTTCCTGTTGACACATTCCATGATGTGGGGAAGGGTAGAAAGGAGGAATAGAAATGACCATCAAACGTCTCAGCTTCGATATGCGAAAAAGGTATATTAAAAACTGAATTTGTTGTAAATTTTGCTCATACGCGCTTACTGGAAGGTTAAAAATGCTCTCAGTGCTACCGCTTTTTGAGCTGCAAAAGAATATCGTCTATATATTTGTGCTGCAACAGAATATAGTTCAGTTTATCTAACATACACATGTGAATGGTCAGTTCTCCCCCCCCAGCAAATACATCATTGTATTTCAAAGATACAGAAATCATCTTTCACTAATATTCATGTAAAACTACACTCATAATAGCTCATTTCCCTGTGTTAAGGGATTCGTTTCCTTATAATAAATAATTCAAAAACTAGTCGCAATAAAAGATGAAATTTTTAAAAGATTGTAAATTGCATCTAAGTTGAAAATGAATAACAGTTCTTACATATGAAACAAACAGTAAATAGTTCAGGAGAATACAGAGGTAAGCCTAAAGCATAATCATTCAAATAACAATATCGAGCAGTAATCCATGAGTCATAAAAGCTCAATACCACAACAACTGGTAAAATTTCGAAATGCCTTTAATATTAAAGGAAAAAATGATCATTTTTCCCTTTCTACATAGATCAAATGTATACATATTTTGCTGTAGCATATCAACAGTTTTAGGGCACCCTGAATGAAGATACAATTTTCAAATAAAAGACGTATTTACAATGCTTTATTACAACACTTGATAGCTGAACAAACACTGATAATCAGCAATAATAATTAATGATAAAAATATAACAAAGTTAGGACTTATTTACTACTTCATCAACAATTAATTTAAGTACCTGTGCTAATGAATTTAATTCTTAATTATGTGCATATAATCAACAGATTGCTTCTCTAAAGCAAATATAAGCAGAAAATAATGATATTTCCCATATGACAATATTTTCATATAATTTGCTACACAAAAGGAAGCAAATTAAATTTTCTATACTATGATTCACCCTTCTTGACTTTTTGGATTTTAATGTGAATAATTTTTTTTAAAAAATGAAACAGCATGAAACTGTTTAACATACATTCTTCATCTACTTGCTACACTACAAACCTGAATCACTAAAAATTGGAAATAATAATAAGTCAAACCAATAGATTAAACCCTCTGAATGCCATGATTGGCTTTATTCTGTCATGATATATTTTGTCACTTGGTATATATTAGCTTATAATTTAAGATATTTTGCTTTCTTACTTCCTTTAATAATTAAAAGGACATCTTAATAAATGTAAGTTTATGAAAATAGAAACCAAAATAAGTAAATACACAAATTTAGTGAATAAAGGCTGTCTGAATACAGATCTTCATAGCAGATCCCAAAACCGCACCACTCACAGGGTTAATAAATTTTACCTTCATTGCTATCAGCAGCAGATCTTTTCAGCACTGTTTGATCTAGGCTTAAAAAACGGTGAATATGAGCAGCAGCCTACAAGACACATAAATTAAAATTAGTTACCAGAGCTATTATATACAGCTTATTGAAAGAAAACTGTATATTTTTATTTAAACTTAAAATAAATATTTACAAGACCTATCTAGCATTTTATTTTAAAAATTGATATATCTTGAAAAGCTCACTATCAAACAGGTTATGAATTAGCAACATAAACTTACTTTTTTGTTCTCCCTTCCAAAACATTTTGAAATTTTAAGAATTAATGGCATAGTTTTAAATAACAATATTTTCAGAACTATGTTAATTATGATAAAATTCAATACAGAGAATAACTTCTAAAACAAGTTTATATACTTTGAAAAGAATATTTACTTTTCCTATTGCTATGAAATAAAACTAGAATTTTGAAATTTTAATTATTGGGTAGAATTATGTAACAATCTTCATCTAACTTTGAGTAAAATTTAATTCAACTAATTTCTTCAATTTTTCAATCAATTATCTAAAAATTTTACAGTAAATTGGCTTACTAAGGTTTAAGCTAATACTCAAATACACACACATCCAGTAAAATCTCTTTTAATTGACAGAACAGATCCTTGTAATTCTGGATAAGGAATTTTTTGAATAATTGAATAGACATTTCTAGAACTAACTTGTTTATGTTTTGTAACGCCATCTGTATGAATTGCAGCATGCAAAATCCATTCGTCATGTTTTGTAACCTTTCATATGTGGTTAAATAAATAATATCAGAAAGTTCTACAGATTACTTAAAATTAAAACACATGCATATGATTTTATATTTCAGAGAAGCAAACTTAAATAACCTTTTAAATTACCTTGTATATTATGACATGAAAATTACGATTTCTCAGTGTGATGGTGAATGTTGGCTTGCTTTTAAGACTGCCACCAGAGTTTTAAAATTCACTGTATACACGATAAAGTTTCATATCATCATGTGCTGAAACAGACAAATACTACTTGACAAATCTTACAAATGTCTGCAATACTTTATCAGCTTCCTTCCATATACAATTCTTACATTCTAGATATCTACAATATCTCCCTCTTTCTCCTTCCTTTCATCATCTTTTTTCTTTTCCCATACATGTCTGATTATTTCATTGTAATATCGAGAAAGTGTAATGTGAACAGATTGTTTACCAAAGCCTGTCCCTCCTCTTCACTAACACATTCTCTGAACATGTAAATCCATGATGTTGTATGATGTCTGGACATGTTTTAAAACCTAAAATGCATATTCATCATTTATAAATATATCATTTACAAACATGATCATATATCCCTATCTACACCAATAGTAACATAATGTAATGTTCTTTACAACTTTCCAGGAAAGCAATTAAATATAGCATCTTTCAATGTGAATTGAAATTCATGGACAAATATCTTTAAAGTTCATGTTGGATAAGACTTGTTACACTTGGCAGCAGAAACATAACACAAAAGTTTATCACATTTAGCCCATTACATATCCTTTTATCTCATGGCCTTCAATTTCATATTTAAATTCAGACCTTCAAAAGTTGCATTATTTTCATATTACCAGTTAATTATATGCTGGTTATGAGAGACTATATAAAGAGGGGTTTTTTTTTTTTTTTAATTGACACTACACAGAACTAACTACAGTTCAATCTATTGGCTGCAGTCGCACTACATTTGGTACAGAAACTAATAATGGCATGGGAAAAATGAAATTGTTCAGAAATTCACAGATAGTGAGTAAATTGGCCCTGTTCTAGTCTACGCAGCTGAAAATGAGTATGAAACACAGGTAAAATTTTAAATTCAAAGGCATGATTAAGTAAACAACAGCAGGGACGGTAATTCAATACATAAAAATAAGTGAAAAACATCATAGACATTCCAAATGTTATAGTTGGAATCAATATGCATCTCACTTTGTCTCAGCATGTGTCATTTGTTGTATCTTCCCTACTTAAATGCAACAATTGCTCTTTGTGTATTTAGAAGTCATTCCAATCAACATAAAGGTCCTCTATCAATTAATGCATTAGAAGATGTGATGAAGAAGTTTGAAGAAAGAGGATCTTAGCAATTTAATCTGATAAAGGTCAGATAAGGCAGTTACTGATGTCATGACAGAAAAGTTCACAATACTAATGAGACCACTGATGGTAGAAGGAGTGCCTGAGGAGTAGCACAACTGGATTTAAATCTTTTAGCAGCATGGCAAATGTTAAGCAAAGTTCTCCATTTCTACCCATACAAGATCAGCCATATGCAGGCCTTAAAACATAATGATTATAATAAATGGGTGGCATCTTGCCAGGATAGAGGTCAATAATGCTTGCCGTGGAAAATTCTGTGGGGAGGAGAGGCCAATTTTCACCTAAATGGGACTTAACATTCATAACTCTCAAATTTGGGCATCTAAACAACTCAGTGCAGCTCAGAAATCTCACTTCATTCAAAAAAAAAAAAAAAAAAAAAAAAAAAAAAAAAAAATCACTGCTTGCTGCTTGCTGTGGTCTCATAGCAAATTTCATCATTGGACCATTTTGTTTTAGAACATTATTCCAACAAGACCACAGAGACATATCATCACCATGCAAAGATATCATGATACAGTGAGTGATTCTGAAATTTTGTCATTCCACAATTTCACAGAGGCAGTTGCTTATTGTCATGAAGGATGAAGCACCACTGCACATTTGGTCTATTGGTATAGCGGCTGTTGTGAAATAATTTTACAGAAGGAAGGGTCATAAATCACTTTTTTCACTTGTTTGGCTACCTTGCTCCCTAGAGCTAACTCTATGCGACTTTTCCTGTGGGGCTATATGAAGTCCAATGCTTGGTGAGGTCCTAATCATGATGGCATTTAAGGACAACATATCATGGGTTATGCTGAATGTGCTACGTTCGGCCATTGAGAAAACTGTATACAAAATGCAGTGTGTTGTTAGTGAGATGGATGGTCATTGAAAGAGGTCTACACCTATTGCTGAGGAAGTGCTTTTATTGAATAAAGTGCTATGGAGCACTGAAACATATCTGTATAACCCTTTTGGAAAATTCAGTTGCTGCACTAATGCCGTTTTGCACTGAAACTTCTTTGTTATTCATTTGTCTAATTCTCAGCTGTGTAGACTACAACAGCACCACGGTGTCACCTATCAGCAAATTTGGAACTAATTCTTACAGAATCTTTTTTCACATATCATCATCAGTCTCCCTTACCAAATTTAATGGCATTTCAGTTGATAGATTGAACTATTGAGAAAGGGGGGGATGCATTTTGCTGTTTTTTAACATAACTGTTGACCTAACAATGATTTCAGTAATAGAGAGTATTTTCAATTATCAGGCAATTTGTGGATTATATGTGTTTAGTGGTGCCCATTCATGCATACTCAATGCTATGCACAAAAGTGTGTAAAAAAAAAGATGTGGCAATTCAAGCAAGCTCTAAAAATTGCTGCATTTGTATTTTCATGCATACTTTCTCATAAAAATTCATTTTTAAAAATTGATTTAAAATTTTAGAATTAAAAAATGAATAAGAACATGCTACAAGTACTAAGCACAAGGAAAGTATTTTAACATTAAAAAAACTTACATTAATTAAAGATGCCAGACTACATGCCAAATCAATAACTAAGCTTGTAGAAGAATATGGAATTGATGCACAAACTCTTCATGATATTGTTAAACAAAAAATTAGAACTTCAAAAAATATATACACTGAAATTCAACAAATATTTAAATATTCTCAAAAGCAAAACTACTGACTTTTTAAAGAATTAAACACGTACAATATGCATGAAAATTAACAATAGTTTGGATTATCTGTGCTTTTCGACTATCCAAACCCTGCTTCCCTGCCATTAGCCTGGATAATTGAGAGTATACTCTAAAAAAATCTGAAATTTTTCCTATTTTAACTTTGCACAACAGAACTTGTTACAGTTTTTTTATGCTCTTACCGATCACATTGCCCTGATAATTGAGTTTACCAGTCTGCTCTTAGACTCACTCCTGCTGATATAACGTTTTTTTTTTTGCCTTTTTAACTTTATTGCTAAATATGCTTTTTCCCACTCTTGCATTACATAATATTCATAAGCAAAATCCTAATATTTTTTAAAACAACATATCTTTAGAATTCCTGACACACTGTAAAGTGTTGCCACACATTTTTTAGTCCAGAGGGCTATTAGTCTTGAAACTGACTTTTGCGTAGAATCACTTTTGTGGTTCATTTCACTTTTCAAATAACTAGCTATTTTAGGCAGCCAGCTATCTAAAATAGTAATTATAAAAAAAGTAAAAATATATAATGTCTAGCTAGTAATTACTAGCTAGTCCACAGGTGTAGCTAGTAATTAAAAACAGAGATAAAGAACTACATTTGCTGCTTTTTAATTGCTAAGTTTGTTAATCAGTAACAGACACATTAAATTTTAAAGATTAAGTACCTTATGTTTTGTCAAATGGCAATAAATTGGGACATGGAAGATGAAAATACTTTTTATTGGGCAGTGGCAACACATTTCCTTTAAACAGCTCAGTTGTTTTATGAAACTAGCTGGTTGTGCAACCAGCTGCTTTAAATAGCTATCATAAAAAAGATATATATAATGATTTTAATAAGTCCAGCTGGTGCCATTTCATAAAACTATTTCATATTCCTAATTTGTCCTCTTGTGATTTAAATGCATTTTTATTTGAATCAAACAGCTGAAAAAGTAGAAAACATATACTTAAGAACTGAGTTTATTGTTTTTAAACTCAGTTAGCTACTTAAGTTTAAACAGATTAAATTTAAAAGTTAAATATCTTAAATTTCACCGAATGACAATATGTTGGTCAATGAAAGATAAAAGTATTTTATTTCAGGCAGTGGCAACACATTGCTTTTAAACAACAAAGCCTGTTTATTAAAATTGAAAGATAAATATCTCACATTTTGCTGAACAGTCTGACACGCCGAAGTCTGGTTCTATTTTGAACGGTCGGAACAGTCTGGTTTGATTTTCATCAGTGTTACCCTTACTCGTTTTTAAATTGTTGAGTTTGTTAACCAAAAATTCATTAAATTTGACCAAAATAGAAAATAAATAATACAAAATCAAAATTAAGGTTTTAAGGTGCACAGGTTTGAGTGGAGAACTATGTGTGTTCAAAATTTGGCAGATACAGGTGACATCGTTTTCCTAGAATGTGAGGAACTTACATACATATTCTTCATTATTTAATGGTGCAGATTTGAAAGACAAATATTTTACACTTTACCAAGTTACAACATATATGAAAAGTGATATAGATAAAGAACTGAGGTCTCTGACTAATAGCACCTCTGGCGCTAATAATTAAAAAAAAAAAAAAAAAAAAAAAAAAAAAATCTGAAAGGTTTCAGATTTTAAATTACTTCTAAAGGCATTTTTTTTTTAAATTCTGTGTGTTACCTTTATTTATTAAATATCATGTTCTTTGCACATAAAACATAAAATTCAGTTCAAGAGCAATATCGCAAAATAATTTTAAATTGAGCACATCTTTAGAATTTCTGACACGCAGTCTCACGCGCTGGAGATAAAAATGTTTTTTTCTGTACAATGTTGCCATTTCTCACTTTGAAATCGTTTTTTTAATCAAAAATTCATTGAAGTGTTACAAAATATGAAATCAATAATAAAACAAATTTCAAATTCAAATTAGGGCTCCCACATGCCCATATTCTATGGAAGATTATGTTAGTCAAATTTTGATGGCTCTAGGTACCATTGTTTTATCACAATGCAAGAAACATATAAATATTTATGTAGATTTCTTCACTATTTAATTTTTTCATATATAATGCAGGGCGATAATAGTTGGTGACAACAATTTGAAAAGTGAAACAGCCTTTTAAAGGTTTCAATGCAAAAATCGCAAAACGAAAACAATAGTTTTTCTAGGCAAATTTCCAATTTGGACTAATAAATATGGTGTTATTTAATTAAAAAGGCTGAATAAAAAAAGCATAATAGAAGTACAGTTATTATTTAAACAAATCTAAGCACACTGTGAGGCATATAACATTTCACATTTTGTAGATATTCTTTTGTATTTCCACCCTAAATTTTTGGGAAAGAAATTTTGACACTATATAAAAACTCACTTGTTCATAGTCCTCATTCTGCAGAGCTGTTTGCACACCATCCGTGCAGAATTTTAAATCTAAAATATCTTCCACTCTTTGCATGCATTCTGTAACTCTACTCTGTGGTATAAAAAAGAAAGAAAAGAATTATTGATAAGTATGACAGTTTTAGACACTTTTAATAAAATCAAAATTACAACTTAATTTTAAGTGATTAATGCATTAACTATTGCACTGTATATTTTTAACCAATTAGGAAAAAAATTATTTCTCTTTTCTACCATATAAAGAGGCAGTTAAAAAAAAAGTTACATTTTCCCTCACCTTTTACAAAATTAAAAATTAAAAAAAAAGATTCCCCCCCTTCAGTTTTACATATAATTTTTCATTATATAATAAATTATACAATATCTTATAAAAAGCTTATTATTAAATTTCAAGCAACTGGCAAGCACACAAAATGTAAAATCTTTAATGGCTTAAAAAAATCAGAGCTTAGTTTACAACATTATAATTTAAAAATTATAAAAAATCCTTTAAAATGTAAATGTTATTTCTAAATCTAAATTTACTAAGAATCTCCAAAAAGCAATACCGTATTTACTCAAGTGTCTTCCTGTCCATGATTTAGAAACTTGATTTATTTGTTTGGTTTTCACCTTAATTCTCAAAACTCAAAATATTGATTTCTTTACATGAATGAATAGTTCCTAGAATTTTTCAAATTGGTATTGTTTGCAGATGAATTATGAGAAAAGAGAAAATATACACACACTTCCATGTAAAATTACATTCAACTCCTGATGAGGTAACAGTAAATACAATGCTTGTAGTTAACTCAAACTACAGTTAATCCAAGCGTAATTAAAAAAATTCAGAATAACCCATGTTATAGTTAACATAAAAATATTATTAATAATTTATCTACATTTTCAAGCAAAATAAGATGGAGAATAACTTCCTTTAGTTATCTAAATTAAATCTATATTAAAAACAAAAATACATTATCAATAATGGCAGAATAAACATCATTGAAAATAAAGAGACTAAGTTACAAATGGTATTAAAGAATAATATCTAAAACAGGATTTTAAAAATGTCACTGATTTCAAACTTGTATAAAAAAAAAGTTGATTAGAACTTTTTGCCTTTTGGTAGAGTTCATCTGACAAAATGATCTGCCACCCTGCTACATTTAAACCTATGGTCTTTTTCTTTTCTTTTCTTTTCACATAGATTCTTTTGCATTGTAACAGAAATTTTCATATTGGTTCCCAATAAACAAATTTTTCTGTTTTTTTAAAGACAGGACTTATTTAACCTAGAGTTAACTGTAGTCTCCAGGAAGTGTAAGACATCTTTATATTCTATAGAAATAAATGTCTCTTATCACAAAAGTAATCAAAGTATCTGCAACAGTCAAATGTCACTGTCTTTCTGCTGGCAATACTATAATCAGAAGAAATCAGTTACAATAGGTTACTATGGGCACCAAAGGTAACATTTTACAATTTTTTTTCTTTATTAGTTCCTTTTAAAATTTACTGCTGCAGGCCTTTATTTTTTATTTATTTATTTATTTATTTATTTTTTTTTTGAAAAAATAGATAGCATTAATATTCAAATTCCAGTTTTTACATCATTAACATAGGTTCAAAAATAGGTACAAAAATTATTTTAACAATATGTCACAAAAGTGAACACTGAGAATTAGTTAAAACTTGATCGATAAATATTTATGAAAATATCAGTCTCTTATAACTAAATGTTTAATGAAAGATAAATTATAGCTTACTCTTGTCACGTCAAGTTGCTTAACTTTGCTGCTTATATTTTCTGCTAATGCAGATGTAAAAGATATCATACTTGAAAGTTGTTCAGCATCAGAATGTATCAACTGTAGCTGTGGTCTATAAAAATTAATATTTATTTAAAACATCATTAGTACATTAAGTACAGATAACATTGCACCTAACTTGTGTAGAGTATAATTATATAATTTATACCAATTAAAAAAAAAACATAAATTTGCATCAGTAGGAGGTCATAACTTAATTTTCACTCTGCACGCTTAAACATTTTTCCGTTTACATAATGGATACTTTTATGATTCAAAGCAGTTATTGAAAATAAAATACTTTTAGGACCTTAATCATAGTAATTTAATAGTAAAATAACATAAGTAAATAATCATTACAAGAAAGTAGAGGGGTACTAAACATTAATGAAAATGGGAAAGATCAATGCAAAGAAAGTTCAATGAAAAATATAATTTTGAAGTAAATTTTTCATTGACAGAAATTAACTTTATTATCTGCTTTAAACATCTTGTAGGATCGTACTCTCTTTGGTAACATAAACTCTAAAAGATCCTACTAAGGAACCTGCGACTTCTTCCACAGGCATAAATAATACAGTCTAAAGTCGTTAATCCGGGCACCCATAAACCGGAATGATCTATAATCTGGACCTCAAGGCTACAAACTTTCTGCTCATGCGTCAACGCATGCGCGTAATACTTTTATGCATGTGCATATGCGTAATACTTTTACGCATGCGCATACACGTGTGCGCATGCGCATAATATGTTTACACATACGCATTTAATGTATAACGGATGGTATAAGCTAAGCTAAAATTATCTAATTATCTATTTCAGTTAATGTTGCAGATTGCATTGTTCCTTAATCTTCGATTTGGATCCAGCTGCATATTTCACAAGTGCACATCAGCGTGGCCACTGAGGGAGGAGTTTCGAAAATTGGACCAATGAGCTTCTGTTGCTCTTGTGATGCTAACGGTAAAAAATGTATAGCGTAGTACAAGAAAATCTGGTAGTGCTTTCATTTCATGAGTTTAATTTAATCGCTGACATTTCACTTTCGTGATTTTTATCACGCATTAATATTTGGATTGATGTTCACGGCATATTATCTCTCTTTACATCGAGAAAATGACTCAAGGTATAATTAGCCTCGAATATTACGCATTTACTTAACACCTGTGGATTAAGAAAATTCAAGTGTATAGTTTTTTTTAAAAATATTTTTTCATATAGACTGCAATAAAAAGTGCTGACTTCTATATACATATATAATTGGTGTAAATATTTTTCTCATATGCATAGTTTTATGTAAAGATAGCATTTGGGCTCAAATGTTTATCACATATTTCCTTCTTCATCTTATTTACCACTTTTTAAGTAAAAATTTCACATGGATATTTTTGCGGAGTATCCCAAATGTGTTTGTATTTATTTAAAATTCTTTCAATCAGGTAGTGAAATCTTCACATTTGCTTATATTTGATCTAACTTCGCAATGAAAATTTTCAGAAGAAATCGACGATGCTTTAATTATTTTGGAAAGAAAATTGTGAGGCAAAATATTTTCAACTATTTTGCTTAAATTGCACGCGACAAAAGTTCATGTGACATGACAGAAATATTACTGGATGCCCATTGGTCCATCCTAGAAGCCACACCCTCGGTGGCTACACAGATGTGCACTTGTGAAATATGCGATCCTGCTTATTATTTTTTGCAGACTGTTAGAGCAATTTTATAAAAGTAAGCTTGAACTTTCGATTATGTCAAATAGAATTTCAAACGATCTACAAAGCGAAAGTATGTTTCGATGTCCATCAAACAAAAAGTGGAATTACTGCAAAAAATGGATAAAGGCATATCCTTTGTTTCTCTAACCATTCCGAAATCTGTTTATCAATTTCACGCTGCTCTGGAGCCGGGGGGGCGGGGACGTCATGGTGCGCAATGAATTGGAAGTTGATCTGTCAGCACTATCCTTATCTTCAGGGCAGATGTTTTTATGTTATTTGGCTTATAATTCCTTACTAAATGTAGTATTTCATCTCGATGTACTCCGTCTTTGATATGATTTAAATCAAATTCCTCGTCATTAAAAGTCGCTTTCGATAGCGAAGAAAGTGACAGAGGTTATTGAAAACGAAAAAATTTCGATTGACAAATTAATCGGTGTTCTAGACACAGCAATTATAGGACTTGAACAGCGGAACTTTGTAACTGAACAAGAAATGATGTCTGTTTATAGAATTAAAGAGAAAGTATTATCACATAAAACGAAGCAACTTAAACAGCTTACATTGAAAGAAATGTTTAATAAAGTAAACAAATAAATATTAAGCTATTTTTCTGTAAATTTTGATACCCTTTAGATCATAATTGCTCTTTATTTCATAAATTACGGTTTCATATTTTAATTTTATAATTTCTGCATGCCATCTTACCAGATTTAAACTAATCATCTATAATCCGGAAAATTTGATAATATGGAATCGCCAAAGTCCCAACGAGTCCGGATTAACGACTTTTGACTGTACCAGCACAGAAGAAGGGTAAAAATAACCCTTTATTATTCATCAAACTCTGAAACGGCAAGGCATGTATTGTGCTTACAATAACACCAACAACTTGTGGTGGAACTTAAGAATTGTTACACAATAAATTCAAAAGAGTAAAGAGTAGTGCTGGACTAATAAATTAAGTTAAGACTAACTAGATTGACTCAACAACTTACCCGGCATTATACTTATTAAATGACCAAAAAGGCATATTAGCAACTCTGCATAACAGCAAGGACAGACTCGTAACGTGTGCTGGCTAGCAAAAAACGCTCTGAATAAACTACAAGATTCACCTGTTTAAACACACACTTCATTTAATTTTAAATTTGCATCCTGGTGAGGAAATGAGGAACAAAGTAAAGGAAAACAGGAAAAGTAAACTCTTAAAATAATTTGTTATGCAAAATAACGAAAACCCTACAATCTTAAAAATAATTTAAAACCTAACACATTTTTAAACTGAATACACACAAATTAAGCTTCTTACAAATGAGACTAAAATATCAGGTATAATAATGGAAATATAGAATAATTTGAAAATTTATGTAGAAAATCTATAATAGGTAAGTAGGAATTTAAAAAAAAATATTCATGAATTTATCCTCTCAGTTTCATAATACATTGCTACGTTCAGATGCAGATTTATACGGCCATACAAGTCATATTACAACAGGTACCCAAATTATAAATTAATTTTTTTTTAAATAGAAAATATATTGTGTCTTAAGTAGAGGAGGTCCCAAAGGTTGAGAGAATATGGGCCCTCCACTTCATAAGACTATCAATGATTCAGTTGAATAGACTGAAATGTTGCAAATGACTTCTTTTTGTCATTATCATTCATGAAGTAAATTGTTTGAGATGGCTGAAATGCATCTATATTTGAGAGATAGCTCTTAGAAATAGAAAGGCTGTTGTAAGATTATATTTTAACAGTTCTCTAAAGGGCCATTCCCACTGGGGTTTATCTGAGCTAACGGACACAGCTGACGTAGCCGACCAATCTCCGAAACCAGTTTTTCCCCATAAGGCAGCAAGTTGAAAAATCTGAACTGCAGGCATGGCGGAGCTACTCAACAAAAGGAACTGACTCTGTTAGCTCAGATAAACCCCAGAGTCACTCCAAACAGTGATTAGCAGACTGAAAGCATACCTGAAATCAAGAATGTGGATTCAATTCTCTCACAAAGTTTAACTGTTTACATATACCTTTTCTTACTCACAGGTGAAATATCAGTTTAACCCTGTGATGCACTCTGGATAACATTCTCAGGGATGAAATCAATAACTAATTAGTTTGCCATTCCCTTCTCAGAAAAAATTAAGTTGCTGGTCCTCCCCATATATTCCCAAACAGATAGGCAATGAAACATCACACATTAATTCCTTTGCCCTGCCAAATGAAAAAAAAAAAAAAAAAAAAAAAAGAATGTTTCATGTAAAATAAAATTCCATAACAGCATGATGGAATGTTTCAGAAGTATACATGCTCCTGACACTAAAGAAGAAAACCTACAGCAATTAATACCAATTCAGATACAAAAGGGCAAACTCTAAATGCTGTGCAATATTTAACATCTATTGCTTTATCTAGAGGAAAATAATTGCATCCTGACAGTACACATATGCTCGCTAGTTTAGTGATCCAGGCAACATGTGCTTGCTAGTTGAATGACCCAGGCTGAGTTAAACAATTTCATTTCCATTAACTGAGGGATCTAACAACATATTTATCCTTTTCAACTTTTCTATTTGTATTTCTCTAAATTAAAAAAATAATAATGTGACATGTAACAGCAACAATGAAAATGATAATGCACAAAATTATGCAAAATTAAATGAAAAGAAAGATTTAGCTTAGCATCAAAGCTTCAAGTGATACTTTGCCACACTCAAGTTAAAAAAATTCTGCAATTAAAAAATACAAAAAATTCTTAATAGCTTAGATTGATAATCAAGTAAAAGAAAAAAAAAGCTCAGCAGTGGACAGTATTGCTTTGTGAAACAAAGCTTTAGATTTGCTTTCTTCTGCTTTAAATAAAGGTGGCCAATTGTCATAGGAAATTGATTTTCAAGCATGCAAAACTTGGTGTGAGAACTTCAAGCTCCATTTTCATTTGCACAACATAAAGCTTCAGGAAAAAGCTGGCTTTGCAGTCAAAGAAGCACAGATTATGAAGCCCCAATTTTTTAAATTCATTGAAGAAATGGTTTATGTTCTGCAACAAGTTTTCAGTGCAGATGAGATAGGCCTATTTTATAAGCAAATGGGACAATGAACCTTTCTTACAAAGACAGAAAAGGTTGCTGTTACTTTTAAAGCTTTTGAGGGTAGATTCACTTTGCTTTTTTTCTGGAAATGCATCATGTAACTTCATGTGCAAGCCTTTGCACATATATTAATCTAAAATACCTTTAGAAATTGTCCATTGTGTATAGGTGGGATAGATACGATGTTTTAATAAAAGCTCTTTTAAATGACTGGTTTGAACAGCAAAGCCTCAGCTTTAAAGTGCTCTTAATTCAT